GGCCAAGCTGGTCTTGAACTCCCGACCTCATGTGAACCACCCACCTCGCCTCCCAAAGTGCTGAGATTGTGAAAAAAAAGTTTAGCTTTCATTGTGAGTCCAGGAGTGCAGACTTCAGATTTCCCTGATTACTTGATTAATCCTAGACTTGAAATAAATACACAAAGAATTCAGCTAACCCACTATGATGCACCCTACTTCCCTTCACCACAGGTTGAAAGTGGGGGTGGGGGGCTTGAGACTCATTTATGTGTTCGGATAACACATAAATGAGCCAGGGAGGCCAACCCCTTTCTCCCTCTTAGCCTCCCTGGCTCTTGGGCATCCTATAGAAAACACTGGGGCCCTGGACCTAGAGGCATCTGCCCATCTAGCTATGATCTGGACTCACTGCTGTTATGTGTCATTAATTTGGCCCCATTTCCAGCTGTAGTTTTTTGATGTCTTATTTGGCTTCTTCTTTTCAGCAGCAGCAGCAGCCGCTGCCAAAATACTCTGAGGCCAGTGTGCTTCATTTATAAAATGGGCACAGGATCTCCACAGCTGGAAAGATGAAGGCAAATTTTTGGCGTCCCAGGGATGCCAAGTTCACGGTGGTCCTGGCTTTCAATGATGAGGAGAATGGAACTGGGGGTGGGGAGAGGGAAAGGAGGGAACCAGGAGGCAGAACAGCCAATAGAGCATGCTGGCCCTGGGCACCCCCACCTGCCCCTGGGGAAGTTGAACTGAGAGGGTGAGGAGCTGGGGGAGCCAGATCTGGTGCTTGAATTGGGGTGGGAGGGATGGAAGATGCCCAAGGGGCCCTCCCCCTAGTTAAACGAACTTGGGACTGGTAACAAAGGTGCCCAAGACCCTCCCAGTAACAGGGTGCCCCGTGCTTCAGCAGACTACCCACTTAAAGATGGCATTCTCTCAGCGTATGGAAGTTCTAATTACTGCTTTAAAACTGCATCATGGCCGGGCCCGGTGGCTCACACCTGTAATCCCAGCACTTTGGGAGGCCGAGGCATATGGATCACGAGGTCAAGAGATCGAGACCATCCTGGTCAATATGGTGAAACCCTGTCTCTACTAAAAATACAAAAAATTAGCTGGGCAAGGTGGCGCGTGCCTGTAATCCCAGCTACTCAGGAGGCTGAGGCAGGAGAATTGCCTGAACCCAGGAGGCAGAAGTTGCAGTGAGCCGATATCGTGCCATTGCACTCCAGCCTGGGTAACCAGAGCGAAACTTTGTCTCAAAAAAAAAAACAAAAAACAACAACAAAAAAAAAACCTGCATCATGCACTTTAGGAGGCTGAGGTGGGAGGATTGCTTGAGCTCAGGAGTTCAATACTAGCCTGGGCAACATAGTGGGATACCACTTCTACAAAAAATGAAAACACTAGCTGACCATGGTGGCACATCCCTGTAGCCCCAGCTACTTGGGAGGCTAAGGTGGGAGGATTGCTTGGGGGCACGAGTTTGAGGCTGCAGTGAGCTGTGATCCTGCCACAGTACCCCAGCCTGGGCAACAGAGTGAGTCCGTGTCTCAACAATCAAATAAACAAGCAACAACGAAACGCAACACTGGTTCATGCAGCCATCCTTCCCATCTACACTGGTGGCTTCCATGGGCCAGGTGCTGTGCTGAGGCCTGGGACAGACTTGTGGGCATGGCAGAAAATGGTCACACAGCCCTCAGCTTCCAAGGACCAGATGCAGGTGCAGCCAGTGTGATTAATAGAGGAAGGGGCTTCTGAGAAGTGGGAGGTGGGGTCCACTTGTGGATATTTATGCTGGATTGTAAGCTCCCTGAGGTCAGAGTTAGGGCTCACAGCCCCCTCAGCATTGATGCAATCACCACCATGTGAATGTGAGCTGAAAGTCTGAGTAGATAGAATTCTCAGAAGAACGTGGACTCTGCAGCATCTGGTGGCATTCCTGTTGCTATGGCATCCTGCACGAAGAAACCCTGAGGTGCACGGGCTTGGCACCCACCTGGGTTAGCATCCAGCCAGAGGTCCAGGTGACAGCTGTGGAGGGCATGCAGTGGCAGAGCTGGGTGTCCCAGGCAACTGGGAGGCCCTGAGTGGGAACAGGGAAGCCTGCTTTTAATTGGTCATATCTTGCTGTATTTCCACACACTGCCTCAGTAGTATACTACTAACAATGCTATTGTTGCTGTATATACCGCTGGACTTTTTGCTTTAAACGTGCAGCATTGTACTCTGTACTAGAAATCACACCACACAGGCGGTTTAATTCCTGCTTTAAAAAAAATGTGAGCACTGCCTGAGTTATTTCACAATGTTTTAAACTTTCTTTCTTCCTTCCTTTTTCTCTCTCCCTTTTTTTGTCTCCCTCCCTCCCCTCTTATTTTTTCTTTCTTTCTCCCTCTCTCTCTCCCCCTCCCTGCCCCTCTCTCCCCCTCCCTGCCTCTCTCTTTCCTTCCTTCCTTCCTTCCTTCATTCCTTCTCTTCTTCCTTCCTTCATTCTTTCTTTCTAGATGGACTTGAACTCTTGGGTTCAAGTGATCTTCCCACCTTGGCCTCTCTTAAATGCTGGGATTAGAGGTGTGAGTCACCCCACCCGGCCTGTCATACTTTAAGTCTGCATGAGTTCTTATGACATAGTTGCACCAGGATGGACACCACGGCTTTCCTCCACTTGAATGTTTAGGGTCCTTCCTGTGTTATGCTGTTATAAAGAACAATCTAGGCCAGGTATGGTGGCTCACACCTGTAATCCTAGCACTTTGGGAGGCAGGACAGGTGGATTGCCTCAGCTGAGGAGTTTGAGACCACCCTGGGCAACATAGTGAAACCCTGTCTCTACTAAAATACAATGAAAAATTAGCCAGGCATGGTGGCAGGCACCTGTAGTTCCAGCTACTCGAGAGGGTGAGGCACCAGAATCGCTTGAACCCTTCAGGCAGAGGTTGTAGTGAGCCGAGATTGCGCCGCTGCCCTCTAGCATAGGTGACAGTGAGAAGTCTGTCTCAAAAAACAAAAACAAAATAAAACAAAACAGCACAAGAAAACATTCTCCAAAATGGAGAGCTCTTAACTAAAGGAATAAACAAAGAGGGTAGGGAAAATATTTTTGACTAGGGAAGGATTTCTGTTACCCTATTTGATAGAGGAACTATTTTGATAGTGGAAGAATTAGTGACATTGTGGTGGTGGTGGGGACCTTGACCAGGCTGTAAACCAGCAGCACGCTGGCTGCATTTGGGGTGGGTCGCGCATGCCTCCTGCTCCAGGGACGTCTGCCTTTCCTTCTCTGCATATCAGAGCATACCCGAGTAGCTGCAGGATACCTGGCAGAATCCATGTGGCAGAATAAATAGCCCAGTAATTACTGATGTTCTGTTGTGACCAGGTAGCTCTGACTCCTCAGAGTGAGTCTGAGGACCTGGCTTTGCATGTGGGATCACAGGCGTGAGCCATGGCGCTGGTCCGGGAATCGTTTTCACAAGCCCTGCGGGGACGCTGATGCTCAGGGCGGGCATCTGCGCTCTGTAGGGTACCTTCCCCGAGAACACAGGCTTTCCCTTCATTTGGAGGAGGATTTTCTGTGGCAGCTTTGCTGACCTGCACTCGCAGCGAGCAGGCTCCCCGGCCGGCTCAAGCCCAGGCAGACAGGCCCTAAGACCCCATCGGCAGCGCAGGAGGTCCCGCTAGCCCAGGAGAGCCGGGAATCCTGCGACGGCGTCCCCTTTTAGGGCTCCCACAACACCCAAGCCGAATAGGTCAAAATCCTGTAAGCGTTTTGGCCTTGACTTCTCTTACTGAGGTGGCCGCGATAGCTAACCTGTTATTTAAAAAGCTCGGAAGGCCGCGCTGCTGCGCTGTGACCACTCCGTGGAGGGACCACGTTTTCCTGCGGATGGTGGATCCCGGGTCTTGGCGAGCGCTCTCCGCCGCCTCCCCGCGCGGCCACTAGATGGCGCTGTTGCACTTCCCTGTCGGCTCCGCGGGGCGCGCAGGCTCCTGGCTCCCGGGTCCCACCAGGGTCCCCGAAGTGTAATAACAACGTGCCGCTGTGAGCTGAGGCCGGTGTCCGGGACATGACATGCAGCCAGGAGGCTTGGCCGAGAGGGGACGAACGCTGACGGTGGGATTGCGCCTGGAGAGCCTTTAGGACTTCACGGGTCTCCCTCTCCACGCTCCACGCCCCGCGCGCTGCCCCCCTCCAAACCCAAGCCCCTTGGGGTGGCCGAGTTCCCGTCACGGACCCTCAGATCGAGGCCCTCCCTGGCTGAGTGCTCATAAAAGTGGCGACAGGCGGTTTTCTTCTCGCGGAAGGCCTGTAGCCTGATTGCATCGCATGCTTGTGGGTGTCTGAACATCAGTTCAGCCATGACAGGATGGAAAAGGAGAAACGCCACAGGTGGGCCAGGGGCCTGCAAAGGAACGATCTGCTGGGCTTGGGGACTGCGGGGCTGGGCGTGTGAGTGAGGGGCCGTAGGCGCAGCGGGGGCAGGGGAGGGAAGCAGCGCGGGGCCGGGCCTGAGGTGTCAGAGCCCAGGACAGCGTCAGAGCCTGAGGATGCCCGGAGCTGCTCGCTGCGGAGGGCTTCGGGGCCACACGCGGCAACCCGGACAGTAATAAACGCAGGGCGGTGGTCAGGGCGCGGTGGCTCACACCTGTAATCCCAGCACTTTGGGAGGCTGAGGTGGGCAGATCACGAAGTCAGGAGTTCGAGACCAGCCTGGCCAATATGGTGAAACCCTGTCTCTACTAAAAATATAAAAATTAGCCAGGTGTGGTAGTGCGTGCCTGTAGTCCCAGCTACTCAAGAGGCTGAGGCAGGAGAATCGCTTGAACCTGGGAGGCGGAGGTTGCAGTGTGCCGAGATCGTGCCACTGCACTGCATCCTGGGCTACTGAGCGAGATTTCGTCTCAAAAAAAAAAAAAAAAAAAAAAACAAAAACAAAAACAAAATAAATAAATAAATAAATAAAATAAACACGGGGGGGCAATGAGAACAACCTCAATAAAAACAACGCACTGACCTCTCACCGCACCCCTATGAGGAGGGGCTGCAGCGTCCCAGTACACAGGTGGGTTAGTGGAGGCACAGGGAGGCGGAGGCAGGAGTCCAAACCAGGCCTCCGATTCCAGGCCTCGACGTCTGCAGGAGAGGTCCTAGGAGCTGTGATGTCCAGATGGAGGGGGCTGCCCCAGCCTGGGGCCTCCTTGGGGTGGTCTCTCCTCATTGGCTCCAGGGGCAAGGAGGAGCCAGTCCGCCGCCTCTCCTCCCAGCCGCTAGATGGCGCCAGGGGCAGGGAGGAGCCAGTCTGGCGCCTCTCTGCCCGGCCGCTAGATGGCGCCAGGGGCAGGGAGGCGCGGGGTTCTGGACTGTTCCATCCGAGGCCCCACCTCCTCCCTCAGGGCAGGTGTGCGGGCACTGGGGCTCCCAAAGGCCAGAGCTTTGAATTCAGCCGGGGGGGTTTAAGAGGAAGGGCTCAGTTCCCCATGTCCTACCCGTGAGACCGGCGACAGGCATCGCTGAGGGCTGCGGCTTTGGAATCGGGCACCTTCTGAGAAAGAGAAACGGACCACGGGGACAGCGCAGAGGATGAGGTGAGAGCTGTGGAAAACCGTGGACCGCGGCAAGCGGGCAGCCAGAGGGCCCAGCTGGAGAGAGGGCGGTGGAGGAGCGGGGAAGACAGGTGCGGAAAGCGCCCCGAGGCTGAGCAGGGCCCGGGCGGCGTCTCCCCGGGTGGCTGGCACTCCGCTCCGCTAACCGCCAGGCCCGGGAGCTGCCCTTGCGTCCCGCTCGCGGTGCGGCGTCTTCCCGGGCAAACGCCCCTCCGATGCCCTGTGCTAGGCCGGTCTTGTGTTGTTACAAAGAAATACCTAGGGCCGGGCGCGGTGGCTCACGCCTGTCATCCCAGCGCTTTGGGAGGCCGAGGCGGGTGGATCACGAGGTCAACAGATCGAGACCATCCTGGTCAACATGGTGAAACCCCGTCTCTACTAAAAATACAAAAAATTAGCTGGGCATGGTGGCGCATGCCTGTAATCCCAGCTACTCGGGAGGCTGAGGCAGGAGAATTGCCTGAACCCAGGAGGCGGAGGTTGCGGTGAGCCGAGATCGCGCCATTGCACTCCAGCCTGGGTAACAAGAGCGAAACTCCGTCTCAAAAAAAAAAAAAAAACCAAAAACCAAAAAACAAACAAAAAAAACCCTGCAGCTGCGTCATTTATGAACAAAAGGAGTTTAATTGGCTCGCAGTTATGCGGGCTGTGGCGTGTGGCACCAGCACTTGGAGGGGCTTCAGGAAGCTTCCAGTCGTGGCGGAAAGCAGGCGGTAGCCAGCATCACACGTGAGAGCAGGAACAAGAGACATGGGGAGTGCCACACGCTGTTAAACAACCGGGTCTCAGAGACTCACCCGCTGTGCTGAGGACAGCACGCCATGGGCCAGACACCCCCACAGGCCCCACCTGCCACACTGGCGTTTACACTTCAACATGAGATTCGGAGGGACAAACAGCCAGTTATGTCAGCCCCCCAGTTTACTGTCTTAGCTCTGTTACTTGTTTATTTATTTTTATTTAAGAGATGGGGTCTCGCTCTGTTGTTGCCCAGGCTGGAGTACAGTCGTGTAATCAAAGCCCACTGTAACTGAATTCCTGGGCTCAAGTGATCCTCCTGCCTCAGCCTCTCTAGAAGCTGGGACCCCAGCTGCATGACACCACATGCAGCTAATTAATTAGTTATTATTTTTTTAGAGATGGGATATCACCATGTTGCTAAAGCTAGTGTTTTATTAAATATTTTTGAATTTCTCCCTTATAGCTTTTAACAGTTTGTCATGACCCATCTACTGTCTCCCCCTTCCCCTCCTCTTGCTTTCCCTCCTCCTCCTCCCCCCTCCTCCTTCTCCTTCTCCTCTTCTGTCTACTCCTCCTTCTTTTCCTTCAGGCTATAAGCCTCCTGAGACTGTCACTTTTGGTCCCCACCGAGACAGGTCCTGGGGTAGCTCCTGGAATCCGGTGGGACTTGAGAAAGTTGGAATCGGCTCCTCTCCTGGGCCCCAGGCTGGTCCCTGCTCCTGCCAGATCACACTTTGCTGCCAGCTTATGCTCTAGTGGTGGAACATTCTCTCCCTCTGCCTGCAGTTACTGAAAGATGAGATTTAAAAGCAGACTACTTGGCTGGGCACGGTGGCTTATCTCAGCACTTTGAGAGGCTGAGGTGGGCAGATCACTTGAGGCCAGGAGTTAGAGACCAGCCTGGGCAACATGGAGAAACCCCATCTCTACTAAAGATACAAAACGTAGCTGAGCGTGGTGGCACATATAGTTCCCCCCTACTCAGGAGGCTGAGGCAGGAGAATCACTTGAACCCAGGAGGTGGAGGTTGCGGTGAGCCAAGACCTGAGATCACATCACTGCACTCCAGCCTGTTTTAAATTAACGAGACAGAAAAATGCAGATAGTACAAGGAGCTCCTGTGTACTTTTTATTTCAACTCGCTCCTGTGTCATTGTTTATTTTGGTGCCACTGGAGGGTAAATTATATGGAACATGGCCCTTTGCCCCTCAGCACACCAGTGGGGATTTCCTAAGAATGGAGACAACCTCTTATGTCATCACAGCACAGTCACTGACACGAATTTGCATTGATACAATACTTTCAACTACCGTCTGTATTCTAATTTTGCCACTTGGTTTAATAACCTTTATAGCATCCCCCTCCTCCACAGTACAGGATCCAGCTTAGTGGCAGATACTGCATTTAGTTCTCATGTCTCTCTAGATACCTTGATCTGGACCATTTCCACAGCATTTCTTTGTCTTTTCTGATGTTGGTATTTTTGAATCATATAGTACTTCTGCCTTTAAAAAAAGAACATTCTTTATTTTGTGCATATCCGATGAGTCTCTGTAATTATGCTGGAACACCGAGCAGAGGATTTTATTCCTTCTCAAGGTATCCCATATGAAAGCAGCTTTAAAAATCAGAACCTTCTTCAAGTGCCTTCTCGTAGCACAAGCTATTAACATGTTCATTTCTCTTTGCTATGGTGGGATCCGTACAATGCAGTAGCGTCAGTAGATGGCTCTCCTTCAATGTAGTCTCTGAATAAAACTTACTTATTCTCAGCTATGGTTGAAAGACCTTAATAAGCCTCCTGGCTTCGAGCAGGAAGGCCGGCTTTAGGCATGAGTGATGCTGGCAGTTCCCACGCTTCCCAAATGCCATTTTCTGTGTCGGTATGACCAGGGCTATGCTATAAAGTCATCCCGGCGGAGCAGCTGTGGCTGGGAACAGTCAGCCTTTCACCGCTGGTGGTTTCGCTGCATCATTGTGAAAACACTCAGTATGGGCTGTACCACAGCGGGGGTTTCGGCGGAATGGTTGGCAGGCTCCCTTGCCCTCTGGGCCACCTCTCTGCACTTGGAGTGCTGATAAAATGCTGATGTCCCAAGAAGGGGGGGCACTGGAAGCTATTACTGGCCACTGGCTACTGAAGATGACCTAGCAACTGGGTCTTCCTGGGGAGGATGGTGGAGAACTGGACCACAGGGGTGCATGGGTGCTGGGACTGATAGCAATGGTGACATCCTTGTAGGTACTCTTCTCTGCATGGCCTTCACTGGTCCCAAAAAGAAAAAAGACACACATCTTTTTTGATGCTTTGACGTGTCCATTGGGAAAGCAGCCAGAGGAGGTGGAAGGAGAACCTCCATTTACTGTCTAAGTCTTGGGTTCAAATCTTGACTCTGCCTCTGATGAACGAGGGGTTTTAATGGCTCCTGTGCCTCTTTGGTGTTCAAAGTAAGTAGTGGTGATGGAAGGGGTGATGTAGGGAACGGGCATCATGTCTGCTTAGAGCTTCCACACTGCAGTGTGCTGCCTCCTCCTGCCCCCTGACTGCCTCTGTGCTCCCCCAGCATTGAAATGGGGAGGCTGTGTCACGATGCCCCGGGCAATGTGGGCATACATATCTATGAATGCCAACTGCTATGGCCTGGACTCCACGTTTGCAGGTTTGGCATTGTTCTAAGGGTATTCTGGATTTGTTTTAATGACGTATGCTGAGACCTAGATATGGAAATACTTGGCACCAAGAAATGCCTTATGCTAATTACAGTTTCCCACAAATAGGAGGCACATTCACAAGAGGAAGCGCCGGGTGGGTCAGGGTGACTGGGCTGGGGAACATGGGCCAGAGGCCATTATCGTCTCTTCCCTGGAATGGAGCAGAAAGGTGGGGCAAGTCAGCTCAGGTTTGGCGAATTTGAAGAATTTCCAGGCTCTGGGGCATCCTAGCTGTCCCTAGTTGCCTGGCACCTGACCTTGGGGTGATTAGGATGGCTAGATGGTGGCCCAGGAGGGTGGGAACCCAATAAAGCAGGATGCTGGAGAGGGTGTATGTGAGATCAAGACTCGTTGGTTTTCACCTGAAAAATATACTTGGGGGTAGGGGTGGGGTGCAATTTATTGACTCACTTAGGAATTAGCTACCCCTGGAGGGGGCAGTCCCTTCAGGGTCAGCAAAGCCACAGAAGCCATAGCATCAGAATACAGAAATAAAAGAAATTAGAAGATGTGGTTGATGCGGGCACTTCACTCCCTGCAAGGAGTACACTCTAACTTTGGACATCCCTGTGGCAGGCTGCTCTCTGGGTCCCCAAGGCTATGGCTGTGTTTATGGTTATCTAGAATGCATGCTTTACTGACACAAATACAAACTTCTTGGGTGAGCACAGAATGGCTGGATTCTTCATTCCAATGGGGGTGCTTCCAGCATTCCATGAAGCTTGGCAGGCAGAGCAGTGCCTGCAGAGACCTTGTCAAAAGCCTCTCTTTAGTGTTTCTTGCTCAACATATCAGCCAGGGTGGTCACCAGGAGACGCCTGCCCAAGGTGGGCTGGGGAGGCCCAAGAAAAGGACAAACCCCTTGGAAAGAGGGGGGCAAGCTGGCTTTGCATGACAGCCTGTCTCAGTGGAGTTTGCATTCTCTCCAATGGCAAGTCCAAAGGGGAAGCAAAACATGGTGCAGACCGTTCTGGAATGTAAGGGCGCTGAGCCCACCAGGTTTTGTTTGCAACTGAGAATGAGACCATCTCGGATGACCAGCCCCAGCAGGGAGCAGGAGAGCCAAGTGGCCCTTCATATTTCTTCCTGTGTGTGCTTGTGTGTGCGTGCACTTGTGTAGGCTGTGGGGTGGCCAAAGCTGTTGTGAGCTTCCGGGGTGATGGTGAAGGTCAGCATGGTGCAAGGCCATTTGTGGGCCACAGTGGGTGCACACTTGGGATGGAGGAGGGAGGAAGACCATCTTTTTTGTGGCTCCGTGAAACTAAAGAGTTGGGGGTTTTTGATGAGGAATGATGTCTGAGTTCTGGGAGGGGCATCTGACTTGATATCAATAACTGGGCTTGAACTGGAAAAATCTGGAAGGTTGGTGAAACACTTTAACAGAGAGACTACAGTGCATTGGTCAAGCCAAAATTGCAATGCCCCTTCATCTAGCCTTTAAGTTTCTCTGAGAACATGCTATGTGACTTTCTCCCTCCTCCTCTTATTTCCTTCTTTCCCTTTCCTTCCATTCCATACCTAATGTGTC